GTAACAGTGTTGGCTCATGGGAAAGAGACGGAGGAGAATAGCTTCATTTATGTGAGTTTCTTTGATCGGATCGTTTTTGTCATTTTCATCTTTATTGTGGCTAAAACTTTTGAGCGATATGAGATTGAAAGTTGTTAATCTCTGTTGTTTTGGGTTGGGGACTTAGATATCGCAATGTACATGTAAATTTATTACAACTCAGTATTATGAAATTAACTCTGATTTCCATATTTGTCAATCGAAGTAGTTGAATCACTATAGTTCATATTATGATGATAGTTAATCAATTTGCTCTTGTGAAATTGTATATACTGAATTATAAGTTCTGTGTGAAATGGTCTTTAGATTCCTCCGAGAGGAAGGAGCCAACAGTCAGATAAAAAAGTTCAATGCTATGAACCTGCCACGATGAAATATCTGGGATACTTCCCCGCTCTGTCGCCCGCTGAGGTTAGTAGCTGCTGTCCGTGCTGCAAAAATAATATGTTTATAACCTTGCTAAATGGTTTTTGTCAGAGTGATCCACCTTATCCTGTGAGATATGGTTAATGCTTTTGTGTTTCAGGTTAAGGAGCGAGTAACACTATCAAGGAAGGCTCAAAAAACATGGGCTCAAAGTAGCTTCAAGGTGAGAAGGCAGTTCCTGCGGATTCTTCTGAAGTACATTATTGAGCATCAAGAGCTTATATGCGAGTAAGTACAACTTTCTGTGTTACTGAGTTGTTTGATATACAGATTTAGCATTTCCTTGGTACTTTTTCACAAATGATTTAAGGTGTTTTCGTGTTTATTTAGAGTCTCTTCACGTGATACTGGAAAGACTATGGTAGATGCGTCCTTGGGAGAAATAATGACTACTTGTGAGAAAATCACTTGGCTTCTTTCGGAGGGGGAACGATGGTTAAAGCCTGAATCTAGGTAATTCCATCATGGCTTATATAATTCAGTTTTAAATATAGTTCTCCATTGATTCTTACTTAAGACATGATTTCAATTCAAATCTACTTCGTCTGCAGGTCATCAGGAAGAGCTATGCTTCATAAAGTATCAAGAGTAGAGTTCCATCCCCTTGGTGTCATTGGAGCTATAGTCCCATGGAATTATCCGTTCCACAATATTTTCAATCCTATGCTGGCTGCAGTCTTCTCTGGGAATGGCATTGTTATTAAGGTATAACTGCAATGTTTCTTTTCTATTATTACAGTTCGCTGACCCTTGTGATTTTATCTTTTCAATATCAACGCCATTCATTTGTATTCCATATCTGAATAGGCATAGCATGTTACTGTTTATATGATGTCGAATTGTGGGCAGTGCAACGATTGAGGAAGTTTATCAGTCTTCTTCAATGTATATTTATTTGTGAGATTTTGTATGTGTTTCTGATTGTTGGAAAACCTTTTCTGCAGGTTTCAGAACATGCTAGCTGGTCGGGATGCTTTTACTTCCGCATTATCCAGGCAGCTTTAGCTGCTGTTGGAGCACCTGAAAATCTAGTTGATGTGATAACAGGGTATGTATATTTTATTCTATGCAATTCTCTTTGGCATGCTGTTATCAAATTGATTTCCTCAAAACAACACATTATTTTCAGGTTTGCGGAGACTGGAGAAGCACTTGTCTCATCTGTTGATAAAATGATATTTGTTGGATCCACAGCTGTTGGCAAGATGGTACAGTCTTCAGACTTCGTTTGTCATTCTCATCAGTTCACAATGAGTTGTATTTATGCAATATGTTGCAGATAATGAGAAATGCTGCTGAGACATTGACACCTGTCACTCTTGAGCTTGGTGGAAAAGATGCATTTATCATATGTGAAGACGCAGATATCTCACACGTAAGTGTTCTTTCTGTGTCATGGTGTTCTCTTCTGTTATTTTATTGGAAAAGGAGGCGTTCCTTTGATAAAACTAACGTTTCTATTGTACAATGTAGGTTGCACAAGTGGCTGTAAGGGGCACTCTTCAGTCCAGCGGGCAGAACTGTGCGGGTGCTGAAAGATTTTATGTTCACAAAGACATTTATACTGCATTCGTTAGCCAAGTAACCAAGATTGTGAAGTCAGTTTCTGCTGTAAGTGCACTGATCTCTGCTAACTCACAAACAAACAAACAAAAACGTACAGCAATTCGCATGTCATTGAGTTTTCTTGTGATTTAGTTGTCATCTTTTCTCCAGCCTCTTCGTTAGTATATTGTAACGGGCATAGTAGCCGTTCTCTTGTTTTTACCACCCTTCAAGCCTATTCCTATATTAACTAGTATATGCAAGCCACATAGGAGGTTAACTGAAATGTGTCATGTGATGCTGTGGAAATTTGAGTAAAACAATATTTTCTTGGTTCCAGAAACATGTCATCTCGTTCTCAATTTTTCTTGTTAAAATTATTCTTTTACATTAGGGTCCTCCTCTAACTGGAAGGTATGACATGGGTGCTATATGTTTGCAAGAGCACTCTGAAAATCTACAGAACCTTGTAAATGATGCTTTAGACAAAAGAGCAGAAATTGCAGTTCGTGGAAGCTTCGGCCATCTGGGCGAAGATGCAGTTGATCAATATTTCCCTCCAACTGTTCTTATCAATGTAAACCACAACATGAAAATAATGAAAGAAGAGGTACGTATCCTTGCCTTCATTGGCTCAGAGTTCATAGACTTCTTGCTTCTGTTGCTCCATGTTGGTGCATCAGACAATGCATACACGAGTTCTTAAGGTATTTATTAATGTGTGAGAGTCAGGCCTTTGGACCAATAATGCCGATCATGCAATTCAGCACCGATGAAGAGGTCATAAAGCTGGCGAATGATTCACGTTATGCCCTCGGCTGTGCTGTTTTCTCTGGAAGCAAGCGTCGCGCTAAACTAATCGCATCCCAAATTCAGTGCGGTGTTGCTGCAATCAATGACTTTGCATCAAATTACATGTGCCAGGTATTCATCACTGGCTTTAGTCTCTGGAAAGTAAGAAAAATGTTTTTGTTTACCATCATTTCCATGACTAAGAATAAGATTTTTTCTCTTATGATTACGCAGTCACTCCCGTTTGGAGGTGTAAAGGATAGCGGGTTTGGAAGGTTTGCTGGCATAGAAGGTTTAAGAGCTTGCTGTCTCGTGAAATCCGTGGTTGAAGATAGATTTTGGCCACTCATCAAAACCAAGATTCCAAAACCCATTCAGGCAAGTTTTTCTTTCACGATAACAAAAATTTCAAACTCTTATATGTTACTTCATTCCTCATTTTCTGTTAACATGTCTCTTGTGATGGTCAAACTGCAGTACCCGGTAGCAGAAAACGCATTTGAATTCCAGGAGGCACTAGTCGAAACCCTTTACGGACTCAACATTTGGGACCGGCTAAGATCCCTAATCGACGTCCTCAAGTTCCTTACCGATCAAAGCTCTCACGCGGGCAGAACTAGAAAGAGCCACTAAAGACTCGATGACGAAAAAGCTTCATGAAGACAAAACAAGTTTTACCCTTTACATGCATTAGCTGAGTTGCTAATATTGGAAGCTAATTTTGGTTATTAGTGAGCCGTTTGAGTTTTACATATAAAGCCTCAGAGAGACTCGTTTCTGCTCCTAAGATATTTGATTACCACTTTTGCGTTTTCTTATTAATAGAAGAATGTCAGTTGGTCTCTTCGATTATTTTCATGTCTCAAGAACATTTGGTGTTCTGCAGTTTTTTAAGTAGAACCCCGTACAAGGCAAACGTAGAACCGGATCGAGATTTCTATTTTGGTTTTCTTTCGGTTTATGTTGCATCAAGACCGTACTGGTACACAGCCATGTAGATTAATCATCAAAGTGACAATTGTATACAGTATGACAAGCTTTGTGAGCTAAACCGTCACCGGTCTCCAGCTGTCCAAATTTGCAATTTATTCTGATTGAAAATAAATAAAAATTGAAGTTTTTATAGATATTTATGATTTGTTTCTCTTCATAACTAATAATCTTATTTATT